CCTGGAAGAAACTCTGTCCCTAAGTTTAAAATCGTTTCAAACTAAATTATCTGCCCCTAATAGCCGTCACTAAACCCGGCTCTACGATTGTAAACCATTAGCGTGAACCACAGCTCACCAGACCATGTAGGGGAGGTAGGGAGCGCGCTTAAGCTTGGTGTTTTCTAGCGTCTCAACGAAGAGAATTATATATATATATATATATATATATATATATATATATATATATATATATATATATATATATATATATATATATATATATATATATATAGTGTAATATCTTCCACCGTGCGGCGTCAAAACATCTCGTGACAAAAGGGCCCCCGCCAATAGATTACCTACAATAAGTTTTCCGGTGAAGCGGCCCCATTTTGATCATTAGCCAACACCCCTATTTAATAAAACGTAAGTTGCTCTTGGTCGGCATACCTTATTACAAAACTTTTAATCAACTGGCTTCCTTGTCAAGTCTGTCGTTCTCATGGGTGGAAACTAGCGAGAGAAATTTCAATCACTGCTAAATGACCGATTTGTTTCAAACTTGGCACATAGGTCAAGATACAATGACAATGCAATGTGACATCAAATTTGACTTAATTGGATGTTTAATTAATTCATAATCTGTGAATTCAACACTACCAATGCTGCGACTGAAAATATTTTGCTTTAAAACACTATCAGTAGCTCTTGAAGGACGGTTTTCATTCATTATTTTTCTGAGGTACACGATATACCCACTAATAAGTAGGCCTATGGCTAATTTTTTGCTTTCGTCGCTCGCTTTACCGCGATATCTTTTCACAGTATGAAGAGAAAGCCTTTTGGTTATCAGCTAGACCTTCGATTACTCTAAATAATTAATGTTTGATTTTTACGAGCGATGGCGAAATAGGGTTTTCAGAAGAGCCCTTAACAGATGGAGAATGTAGACCCTAATTATATCTTAAAGCAGGCGGTCGATTTTTACTTAATTAGTAATTAGTTAACAATTTAAAAGGCAGTCGCTTGATAGCACATCATAGTGACAGTATGCCTATAAATAACATTTAGTTCAATTTAGCTAACTATTGAACTGTTATGCAAAAAAAAAAAAAACACATTTAAGCAAAAAGGTCGATTTTTATATCGTCACACCTCTACAGGAATGCAATGGTCGAACTGTGTCCAACTGTAACTGAACTGTTGTCTATTATAGCTGTAACGTCTAACTGTGGCGTAGCCAGGATCGTCTCGGAGGGGGGGGGGGGGGGGAGTGGGTAAAGAATTAGACGTGTGTGTGTGTGTGTAAAGCAGTGGCGGCTGATGACTCGTGGGTGCCTTCGGCTAACCAGGAAACCCAGTATTTTAATATATTGTCTTATATTATAACATGTAGCCAATGTACAACATCCTAAAAAAATTAGACTTTAAATTTTATTATAACATGTAACAAATTCAGAAAACGCAACAAACAGATTAAAGGACATTTAAAATTATTGAACTACAAACGAAGTTCCAGTCTTTTTGGACCTTTGGCTAATTTACCAAGAGTCTCATCCGACTGAATTACAAAGGATTTCTCGGTCACTATTTAATAATCCCACACCGGTGTGTCTATCCTCGCAGATAGCATTTCGCAGGTACGTTTTTTAGTCGGCGTAGAGGGAGTCAGAGTGAACTGAAACAAATATAAAAACCTTTATGGTAACAGGCTTTTAAATACTTTAAAGATAAGAAAATAAAGCAAACTGCTTTCTTTAATTAAAGCGTTTGTCGCTAAAATATGCATGAGAACTCATGAGTGACCACAGCTTTTATTAAAGAAAGCAACTTTGTTTAAAAGCGTGTTATGAAGTGTTAAGAATTTGGAGATAACTCTAAGAGAACCCTTAAACTAATTGCTCCTTAAGGTTGAATCTTTGTTGAAGAAGTTGTTTTACAATGCCAGGATGACATATTTTCCAGTACATCAACAATAGCTTTTTGAAGTTGTACAAAAACGTTGACGGACTCATGACGTTCAATACATCGTGTAGCGAGATGCTGAAGCTTAAAGGGTTAATTTCTCTGTTGAATATGAAAGCAAAGATTGTCGTTTTGGTGTGTTAAAAACCGTTGCATGCGCTATCAAGGATTCTCATACAGCAGGCAGTTCAATGGCATCAGAAAGAGCTAGATTTAGACTGTGAGATGCGCAATGCACGTAAATATCCAAATCAAATTTCTCAGCAACATATTGTTGTTCCCCATGAAGTCGACCACTCATTGCTGTGACACCATCATATCATAAAATTACAATATATACGCAAATTTGGAAGACTGTCTGTTAAACAGTTGCAAGTCATTTGCTCTATTTACACTATAAACTGTACTATATCTTACCTTATTTTCTTACCGTTATTAAAGTAGCGAACACATAACGAAAATTGCTCCGTGCCAGCTATATCACTAGTTTCATCGCCTAAGACAGGGGTCGGCAACCTTTTGAAGCGGAAGAGCCAAAAGTTACAATTTTCAAAATTTCCCTGGTTTTAAAGAGCCACTAACATTTTTTAAATTTCAAATATTTAATTTTTTATTAAGATTATTAGTATTTGTTCAAGGAGCTGGAGAGCCGCATCTTGATATCAAAAGAGCCGTATGCGGTTCGCGAGCCGCAGGTTGCAGACCCCTGGCCTAAGACAGACTTTAATTTGACAGAAATAATTTTCGCAACAATCTTTTGAATGATTAATTTGTTGCACACATTTATAATTTCAATTTTGAATTATGAGACGTATGTATCTTGCGTTTTAATGAATTTTCTAGATGATGTTGTCTCTGCCCATAGCTCTGTATTGCAAAAGAGCTCGAACATTTCCATTATTTTATCAGGATCCCTGTGCCCCTTAAGTGCAAGACCTTGTCGGCTAGAAAAAAATTATTTAAATTAATATAGCTAGCCTAAAACGAATTTCTAAATGTGTTGACTCGATGATAAGTTTGAGGCTATGTTAATCTATATACCATTCTCTACGTCGCCCAACCATGCTGGACACCACCCCTCCCTCGCTCTCCAGGCATGTGCAACAAACCATATCGCTATCACCCCAGCCCCACCATCCTGGTGAGCTGTGGTTCACGCCGCATGTTTACAATAGTAGAGGAGAGTCGAATTAGTGATGGCTATTAGGGGCAGATAATTTAATTTTTAAACGATTTGAAACTAAGGGGAGGTAACAAGTTCTCCTTGATCTTTTCATTGTCGTCTATAAACTGTAGTCACGGACGGCTACTTTCGCGGGAGCGGGGGGGGGGGGGGGGAGGATAATCGTGCTTCACTAAATAAATGCATATGCTAAGTCGCGGGTCGACTCGCATTTAATAATAGGTTCAGTTGTTTATTTCCATAAAACGGATTTACCATTTTTCGAAAGTAAAATTGCTATTTAATGATACTCACGTAATTTGGAGTTAGCCAACCAGTTCCACATATGCCACAATGAATACTGAAACTTCAAATTTCTTTGTCCGCTTGCTGGAAATTTCAAAAGTTCATCGGGACGCTTTTTATTTCATAAGAAATAAAATAAAATAGGCCTACATATATATATATATATATATATATATATATATATATATATATATATATATATATATATATATATATATATATATATATATATATATATATATATATATATATATAACTTAAGTAATGTTTCAGATATATAGACGAAATGTTACTAATTTTCTGCCTTCTGTAAAATTTTGAGTAATTTCCGTTGACCGGAAGTAGGGATCTTGTTTTACGATATTTCCGATTTCTCAAAAAAAAAAAACGCATATGAATATATAAAGTACTAATATTCCGCACTATTATATAATTATACACACATTGTTTGCTGTTCACTTGGTACGCAATTATTTTTTCTACGATATTATATTTTAAAAAGTTTGAGTAAATAAAACATTGTTAAAAAATCGTGCATATCCCGAGTTGCCAACCCTGTAGTGCAGTGGCGTAGTGAGGTTGGGTGTCACCCGGTGTCATACCGCCCCGCCCCCCCCCCCCCCCGAAAGAAAAAATCATATATATATATATATATATATATATGTGTGTGTGTGTATATATATATATATATATATATATATATATATATATATATATATATATATATATATATATATATATGTATATATATATATATATATATATATATATATATATATATATATATATATATATATATATATATATAATTTTATCTCTTTAATCTTTAACCGTGCGCTACACGAATGGCTTGAACGTCAAGAGTCCGACTGGATAATTCAGTAATCCAGCTCAGAATGTGCTTTATGTACATTTTTCGACCCCGCTTAGCGCCCCCTATGTTCGGGACCCGAGCGGCCGCCACGCCCGCCCTGCCCTCGAAACTCTGATATAATGGGACTTTCTTTACCATTTTCAGTTTAACTTTTCTTTGTAAAGAAATCCCTTGATAAAGTACTTTTCAATTTCAGTTTCCTCGCCCTATCTATATTTAACCTACCCAGTTTCTATCTATCCCAACCTAGTCACACCCACGTGTCAGGTTCAGCACAAATCCCCCCCCCCCCCCCCTTCGACATACTTTAACTGATTGGCCTATGGCTATAACCTTGATCAGCTTTCCTATGGCCTACTACGTTCCAGTTAATTATAAATTAATTTCCCGCGATATTAATGATCGCATCTAAGATCTATCTAGATCTACAGACAATTCTCAACTTTCAATAAATTAAAAAGTTATTGCAATTATTTTAATGCAATGCAAGGAAGAATACCGTTTCTTCTTAGTAAAAGCAGAACCCAGAGCTACGGGTCGTTGGGCAAGTAAAATCGCGAGTCATAAACTTTGGTACAGATCTAGATCTAGCTCAAGGTCGTGTCTCTATGTTCAAATCTTATAATAATCATAGATCTAATTATTGTTTTCCTATCTAGGAATATATATTTCTAGGAGAGGTCGCTTACATAGGTTGGCCTAACTCGGTCAATCTAGTCACATGACAGTCACGTTCATGTGACTCGTGAAATCTATAAAAAGCTTCGTTTCAAGCTTTCCTTGAAATCGCACTGTCTAGTCTAGCTACAGAACTAGGCATACAATCGCCTGTATTAAAAGGTAGTAGACTATATTTTGCACAGTACTAGACTATAGACGTACGCTAAACTATACACTAAACTTGTTCTATCAGGAAGTTAATCAGCTGCACAAAGTAAAATAAAGTAGATATCTAGTCTACTTCTAGATTAAATATTTAATTTCACTTTCAGTAGTCTAGATCTAGAATCTAGTAAAAGTAGTATTTAGTATTTACTATTATTATTACTATAATAATTTATTATAATATTATTAGCCTATCTACTACTAGTGACTTGAAGTTTAGTTATAGATCTAGAATCTAGCTAGAGTTAGTTATTAATAATTACTAGATCTACATCTAATTTAAATAAATAGTAGGCAGACTAGCCTAGGTGCCCTGGCCTAGGGGCAGTCCTAGGGCCTACCTTACTCCTAGAGATACAGAATAGATAGATCTAGTCTAGATAAAATATGAATGCATCTATTCAATTCTATTCAGACCCAGGTCCTAATAGTTAAACTTAATATAATAGCCTCGGCCGCTATTTGGACCAGCCAATAAAATTTTATAAAATTAAGATTTAGTTAGGCCTATACAATAATTCTTTTAAGATGCAGAATATATCTTTTCTGTTGTTGTGATTTTTTTCTTGTAATTCTAAATGATTTATTGGGATCTTGCTTTAAATAATCGATATCATTCCTGACAAATGTCATGGCAAGCGGGAGCCGTTGGGTCTATAATATATATGACATGGTATAAACTTCTCTGGCCGACCGAATGTTGAGCACGCATGTAAAAATGTGTTGTTTTTTTCTTCTGTTAAATGTAATTTGATTTCATAGGCCTATCAGTCCAAATACAAAAATAAATAAAAATATAATTGTTAAAACTTAAAAATAGCTCATTATAGGCTATAGACTACAGCTCCTGGGTCTGTTTTCTTGAACATGAATATCTCGCATGCGTTGTAGCAGTGGGCGTTGTGAGTTCGGGTGTTACCCGGTGCGGCAACTAATGGTGTCACACCCACACCCCCCCCCCCCCCCCCCGTAAGAAAAAAAAGTATTTATGACGCATGTGTAGGGCCTATATGTATTCAAAACCATTTTCTTCTGGATGCATTTAATTTTTACCCCCCCCCCCCCCATACATGGATTAACATATAGGTTATTACTATTCCCAAACAAACCGTTTTCCTCAGGCATATATATTGCAACGTTAAGTTGATGTAAACCCCCCCCCCCTAACGATTTGTTTCTATATTTGGTTATAAATTCAGCTGGATGTAGCATGTTGATATTTAAGTTAAAGAAAAGTGAATTATGTTTATTAATTTGAGGCCACTCAGAAGACAAAATTGTCACAAAACACAGAGCTCTATTAAAATGAATAGGGCCAACTAAAGATGGACTTACTAGCCCAGTAGTTTCTGAACTAACCCAGAGTGTTTCTGGTGTAAGGGAATCGCACATGACTGCACATAATTCCTTTCATTCACATAAGATTAACTGTTTATCTTCCATGTGAGCCTCAGTGTTCTGGTGTACATAATTTGATTCACAGTTTTAACTATTGAAATGTAGTATCTTGATTGTTTATTGTCATGCTAATGAACACAATGTTTTCAGATGTTTCTCAGGTGTTCACTCCTGCTGCTCTGTCTGAGCCACTTGGCTTTCTCTAGAAACCTCCAACAACAGAACAAAAATGTGCTATATTTTCAAGCTCATGGTGTAAGAGAAGCTGTTCATTTTGTAAGTTTGATGTGGTTGAAGTGTGGCAATTCTTTATTAACTTTGAGTTTTGTGGAACTCTTGCCAGCAGAAAATAGAAATTTAACTAATATCTATATATATAATTCTCTTCTTGGAGATGATAGAAAACACCAAGCTGTAAGCGCGCTCCCTACCACCCCCACCCCTACATGGTCTGGTGAGCTGTGGTTCATGCTTAATCTATATAATCGTAGAGCCGGGTTTAGTGACGGCTATTAGGGGCAGATAATTTACTTTGAAATTATTTTAAACTTAGGGGAGGTAACTAAGAGGAGGCTGCTTTCACGGGGGTGGGGTAGGGGCTGGGGAAAGGAGGGTGGGGGTAGTATTGTCCTTAACGAGCTACTGATAGTGTTTTAAAGCAAATATATTCAGTGGCAGCATTGGTACTGTCGAATTCACAAATTATGAATTACTGAAAAGTAGAAAATAAAACAATTAAATAGCGGTGTATGATAGGCAGTGGGTCAGCTCGTACTAATTAAAAATCCAATTAAATGAATTACAAATTTGATATGCTTACATGTTGCATAACTCCTGCATGCTTTGTTACACTTAGTAATTTTTTTTTTTTTTTATCAAAGTTGACCTTAACCATATTTACAAAACATATCCCTGAAGTTTTGATTTGAACATCACTTTTATATTAACAAATGATATAATTTTAACAAAAAAAAATGTGCCTTTAACCTTGTCACTTGTTCAGTTCTTTATTAACAAAAAATCATTACTAAACTTCCCTACTATGATAGAGTAATGGTGAGGAGGGGAAGAGAAACATCAATTAGGCAGTTTCTTGTTACTGATACATAATTAATGTAATAATTGTACAAGAAGCCTTAAGCTTTGCCAGATGAGCAGCAATAGCTTTTTTTAAATTAATTTTTTATGTTATTTTACTTTTTAAATAATTGCAACACTATTTTCAATTAATATCTGTAATATAAAAACAAAATTTTGGTAAAGCTAAATAACCATTTTGTTATCTAATTATAACTGAATTCTTTGTTAAATACTACCCTGTCCTTATGCTGCACACAGTCAGTGAACTTACCAAATGGTACATGTCCCAATAACACTGCTTACTTCTGTTCTGTGAACTACACTTGCTGTAAAACACCACAGCCAACAAATCCATATGCCTGCTGTCCATATTTGGAGGTGAGAAGTCATACTTTCTCATGCTTATGAATACTGGATTTTTAAAATTTTTGATAAATAGAACAGAATTTAAAGTAATCATTCTGCTTTTTGAAGAAATGCTACTAATTTTATCAGGGAGACTGTTGCCCTGATGGTATACATTGTTGTCCTCGTGGTACAAGGTGCGACATGGTCCGTAGAGGATGTGTTTATGCATCTGACAATGAAAATGAGTCAACATTTGTGGAATGGGATACAATGTCTCCAGTCCAACTATTAACTTCTGAAAAGGTTTTGTTTGGTTTGAAAATATCCTTTCAATAATATTTTTTTAAGTTTGATAACTCCCCCATCCCCCTTCACCACCCACCCTTTACTAAAATTAAAAAAAAAATGAGTGAGGCCTAACCCTTTGATATCAGTCTAATATGCTTTTTTCTCAGCCATTTGCAAAATTTATTGTGTAATTGAACACAATAGCTTTACATTGCTTTCTTATTTTTGCACTTTTTAGTATGATCTGTATCAACTCCTTTGTCCTGGATGGTTTTAGATATGGATATGTATACTAGAATAATTATCTTGTAATGTACAATAGCTATTTATAAATAGCTATTGGCTTGGTTTGGGTGACCCCTGTGTCACCATAAAGTTAATTAATATCTTATCAAAGTCACAAGTTGTGCTGGTTGATACCATTTCAAAATCAGCTGACAAAATCAAGGTCAGAGGGAAGATTAGATTTTTTTTCTCTCAAAAAGTAGGCCAACTTGTTGAATTAAAATTTAGTGAGATACACAAGTGATCACTACTGATATACAATAATTGAAAAATAAATTGTTCTCATATCATCCATTTAAATCCTAAAATAAGTATAAAGAAGTCACCATTTACTTTTCAAAAAACTAAATGAAACTTGACTCTGATACATCACTAATTAAAATCTTTAATGATTGAAACTTAATAATATGTATTAATTATGGAAGATTCAACAGCTATTTAAATATAATTTCTTATAAAGATAACTAATAAGTTTTAAATTTTATTTCTGTTTTTCAGAATATTAATTAACAATTATCCTCTGTACACTTGTGCAGGAGGAGTTTAGTTTTGTCTTCAATTACATAAAGCACACCATAATACAACAAACAGTGATCAGTTTAGTTGCAACTGCAGCTTTCTTAATCTGCACTAGCATGTTTATGTGATAGTTTTTTAATGTAATATTATAGTTATATTTGGGATGTACCAAATTTTACTAGAATCACATTAGTGATCTAATAAATATTTCTAATCAATATTGACTCTCTACAGACATTGAATCAACTGTTTTCATCTAGCCACATACCTGGCAGTGCTAACCATTTATGCTGATAGTATATACACAAAACATACATATATTCCTTTTGTTAGCCTCAAGACAAGCCCTATTCCCCTATTCCATTTAAATATTGAATGTGATCACAAATTTACCACCCAAAACCTTCTATGACTTAAAATCTGCTGGCAAGTTGTTCCTTTTGTAATTAAACAAATAACTTAAATGAGGTATTCAAATTATATTTACAGAATGCGTTTTTGATAAAGCATTCAATGTTTAATGCATCTAACTATTAAGAATCCTATCAATCATGTGAATATTTTGTATTTAGACTCCAGAGAATGTAAAAGTTGTGTGTCCAGGAGGTCAATCTCAATGCCCTGATGGAACTACCTGTTGTAAAATGCAGTCAGGAGACTATGGGTGCTGCCCATATTCTAAGGTAAGTAGAGCCTCAGTCAACTAACTTGTTATTTTGTCCAATTTAACTTCTTAAGGGCATGGGCGGGTGATGAGTACCAACTTCTTTATTTCCAAGTCTAAAGATGCAATACTTGGCTAATAGTTATAACTCAAAGAGTTAAGCATAAAAATATTTTTTAAAATTTTTAAAATCCTCCGTTGCCATGGTGATGGCGGCCATATTGGATTTTATTGACGATTTTTAAATGGAAATAACCCAAAAATGGTTTGTTCAAATTTCATGAAAACTTAATATAGTCTGCAGACACATGTGTTTAAGACTTCTTATTGATTACATTTTAAAAAAAGAAGATAGTTTTTTTTTTTACTTTTTTTTTTCGATACATCACTGTAAAAATGTCATTATTTTGTCCAATTTTTTCACTATTTAAACAATAAAAAAAAAATCTTTACAAAAATTCCAAAAGTGTTCAATAAGTTTTATTTGAACATATATACAGAGTAACTGGAGCAAATTTAGTTCAGTTCTGATAATTATTAACAAAGTTATTTCAACAATTGTACAAAAAAACATCAAACTGAGAAAAACGCAAAAAACCAACAAAAAGTTGCAAAAAATGAAAATTTACAGCTGTATGTCACTAAAATCGACCACATTCATAGCCTGAAGTATGGTGCTGCTGAATATATTCCTTCTGAGCTTGTTCAGCTGTTAGTTTTCTTTTTTTCTGGCGCTCTTTGTTTTACCTAGAGCTGTAGAAAAGCTGTTGTCAACGCGTCTTTTTTGGCGTCCTTCACTGAGTCTTCGACTATGGTTTCCTTCTTTTGACAGCAATGCCATAGCATGCCTGGGCCCAAAATTGAATTATGCTATCGCAGAAACAGCAGTATATTTTGCATGGTCTCATGTCTAAAGCCCAGTGGCGTAGCCAGGATCGTCTCAAGGGGGGGGGGGGGGTTCCAATTTTTACCCGGGGACAAACTTTCCATTTGCACCCCCCCCCCTCAAGCTTTTGATTTTCACCCCCCCCCCCCCCCCCTCAAACTTTCGATTTGCACCCCCTCATACTTGTTATATATATACCGAGGGGTCTATGGGGGGGGGTTATGACCCCCTAAACCCCCCCCCCCCCCCCCTGCCTACACCACTGCTAAAGCCAATTATGATAGATAAGACGATGTCTTTGTTTATTGTGAATGGCCTTGTTCTGGATTCTTTTGCAGTTGTATACTTACGGTTTACAACATTTTTATTACTGCCACACCATGCTTGAAGAAAACACTTTACACTGTTTTCATCAATAGTAGCCACTACATCACAGTGGGCGAGGAAATGTATTGATAACATCAAGAAGCAAATCACATTCGACAATAATTCTGCATGGCTGTGGTTTACAATTAGCACTACCAGTACTAGATGTAACAGTGCTTTCTTCTGTCTGTAAAAACTGTGTCTTACATTGTTGCAGTTTCTTAGTAAATGTGCATATTACATCTGCACCAGTGCTTGTCTGAATAGTGCTAGATTGAGAAGAGGTAGCTGCAATCAGTTGCATTCGGACGTGCCCTTGCTTTAGTAAATTAGTTAGATAATTGTGTGTATCTATTTTTAGCGAGTGTTTTGTACTACCCATTATTGAAAGAGAAACAAATTAAATCGTCTCACTGCTTATGATAATTCACACAAACTAATCTAAACTGTTAATAGTATATTTAATTGAAATAATTATATGTTAAAATAATGTAAGTATTTCACAGAAGCTTAGAGAAACAAAACTAGATCAAACTTAGCAACGCGCTGAAACTAAGGGAATGTTTACTTCCAAAGCGAAACGACCAATCGCTAACTAGCTTCCGCCGTTGAACGCCAATGAAAAAATTGAGGTCAAAAATTTGCATACCGGAAAAACCCGACTGAGTAAAATAAACAACTTTATGACGTAGAAAAATAATCACATTAAAATAAGTATTTTGATTGGTCCTTTAATTTTAGAACCAATAAAGAAAGGAGGTCCCAGCCTTTCCATTGATATGAAACACATTAGGTTTACGTGAAGCCTAATAGTACTTTTCTACTCTAGGTCGAAAAATGGCTATTTTTACCAAAAAATTAACAAATGACCCTGTACACACTACTTTGAACCCGGTTTTTTATAAATAAATACTGTTTTTAGGGTCATAACAATGTCATTTTTAGATTCAACGATGGTTATTCTGTATAGATCAAGTAAAAGTGGGAAATCGATGATTTAGTGGATTTATGACGAAAAGTACACTCGCCCATGTCCTTAAGCTAGAAATGGCTGCTAAATATTGGAACCCTCACTTCAGGAAGACATGTTTTATTTTTGAGCTACTGTTGTCTTCCCAAGGCTGTGTGCTGCTCTGATGGCCTCCACTGCTGTCCAGAAGGTTATCGCTGTGATGTTGCTGCTGGACAATGCAAAAGAGGTTTTGAAGTTGTCCCTTGGCAAATAAAACAAACTTCTGAGCCAATAAACAGTGTCAAATGTGATGGCAGTTCCTCATGTCCAGATGGCAACACCTGCTGTAAATTAGCCTCTGGTGAATATGGGTGCTGTCCTTTACCCAAGGTATGATCCATAAGATATTTACAAATAAATGATCAAATTAAGATTGACACCGCATTAGATACCCTAAAGCTTCTAAATTGCCAGTTATGAAAAAGGCAAGGATTGCTAGTGTAATAAAAAAAAATCCTGGGAAAATGGCCTATGTGTTAAATGCCAAAATAAAAAAGTTGTCTAAAAATAGTCAAAACTTTTTACTGATCAAATTAATCCATTGAATGGAACAGATATTTAGATTTTATTTGATACAGCTTCATTTAAAATGTCAAGCATTTAAAGTCCTTAAAAGCTGCTTATGGCGTGTTAAAAAGTTACTTTGTTAATTAAAAGAACATGAAATGATTTTAAGTGGATTTGTTTTAACATGAAAATAAAATGTATTGTTACTAAGGCTGTATGCTGCAGTGACCACACCCACTGCTGTCCCAATGGCTACACATGTGATGTCTCAGCTGGAACATGTAACAGGGGCAATGATGTTGTAGCATGGCTCACTAAACAACCAGCCAAAACTGTTGGGGAAGTTAAATGTGATGGCAGTTCCTCATGTCCAGATGGCAACACCTGCTGTAAATTAGCCTCTGGTGAATACGGGTGCTGTCCTTTACCCAAGGTATGATCCATAAGATATGTACAATTTAATAATCAAATTAAGATTTACACCTCATGAGATACCCTAAAGCTTCTAAATTGCCTGTTATAAAAAGGGCAAGGATTGCTAGTGTAATCCAAAAAAAAAAATCCTTGGAAAATGGCAAATGATTAAAATGCCAATATTAAAAGGTCCCTGACAGTAGAGTGTATGCAAATTAGGATCCTGATAAAATGGCACCTATCATTTTAATATGTTATACTCAATCAGTTCCTATGAATAGGGTTCCTATTCAACTAATTCTATCAGTGTGCTCTAGAACAAAAGACTGACTTTTTAATAAGTCTTCACTCTCCTTTCATTAAGATAAAAACACAAATTAATTAATCTCTGGCTGACCACTAATCTCCTGCTTACTAAAATCCTTTTGTCTGCAAACTAATATCCTTTTGTCTGCAAGGCTCTTGCCATTCAAAAATCACTAACCAAATACTAAAGAAATCCTGCACACTTAGTTCCCACTAAACACCAATCTCTGGCATACACTGAGCTCAGCAGTTTTTAAGTAAGCTGCTGAACATGCTAAGCCCTTATAGTTAGCTAAGCTCATGCTGTATATTAATGTCTAGATATTTTTGAGTTACACGTATTATGCAACCATATTGACTGGAGGCATATTGGTGTGAGACATGTAGGTGTTGAGCTGTAATGGTGTGATTCATGTTGGAGTCAGCCATGTAGTAATTTGCCATTTTGACAAAAGCCATTTCGTCTTGGGCTTTAAAAGTTGTCAAAAAATAGTCAAAACTTTTTACTGGTCCAATCAATCCATTGAATGGAGCAGATATATAGATTTTATTTGATACTTCTTCTTTTAAAATGTCAAGCAGTTATACTAGTTATAGTCCTTAAAAGCTGCTTATGGCGTGTTAATTGAAAAGAACATGAAATGATTTTAAGTGCATTTGTTTTAACATGAAAATACAAATGTATTGTTACTAAGGCTGTATGCTGCAGTGACCACACCCACTGCTGTCCCAATGGCTACACATGTGATGTCTCAGCTGGAACATGTAACAGGGGCAATGATGTTGTAGCATGGCTCACTAAACAACCAGCCAAAACTGTTGGGGAAGTTAAATGTGATGGCAGTTCCTCATGTCCAGATGGCAACACCTGCTGTAAATTAGCCTCTGGTGAATACGGGTGCTGTCCTTTACCCAAGGTATGATCCATAAGATATGTACAATTTAATAATCAAATTAAGATTGACACCGCATTAGATTCCCTAAAGCTTCTAAATTCTCTGTTATAAAAAGGGCAAGTATTGCTAGTGTAATCCAAAATAAAATCCTTGGAAAATGCAAATGTGTAAAATGCCAATATTAAAAGGTCCCTGACACTAGAGTGTATGCCAGTTAGGATCCTGATAAAATGGCACCTATCATTTTAATATGTGATACTCAATTAGTTCCTATGAATAGGGTTCCTATTCAACTAATTCTATCAGTGTGCTCTAAAACAAAAGACTGACTTTTTAATAAGTCTTCACTCTCCTTTCATTAAGAAAAAAAAACACAAATTAATTAATATCTGGCTGACCACTAATCTCCTGCTTACTAAAATCCTTTTGTCTTCAAACTAATGTCCTTTTGTCTGCAAGGCTCTTGCCATTCAAAAATCACTAACCAAATACTAAAGAAATCCTGCACACTTAGTTCCCACTGAACACTCATCTCTGGCATACACTTAGCTCAGCAGTTTTTAAGTAAGCTGCTGAACATGCTAATCCCTTATAGTTAGCTAAGCTCATGCTGTATATTAATGTCTGGGTATTTTTGGCGTTACACGTATTATGCAACCATATTGACTGGAGGCATATTGGTGTGAGACATGTAGGTGTTGAGCTGTAATGGCGTGATTCATGTTGGAGTCAGCCATGTAGTAATTTGCCATTTTGACAAAAGCCATTTCGTCTTGGGCTTTAAAAGTTGTCTAAAAAATAGTCAAAACTTTTTACTGGTCCAATCAATCCATTGAATGGAGCAGATATATAGATTTTATTTGATACTTCTTCTTTTAAAATGTCAAGCAGTTAAAGTCCTTAAAAGCTGCTTATGGAGTGTTAATAAGTTACTTTGTTAATTGAAAAGAACATGAAATGATTTTAAGTGGATTTTTTTTAACATGAAAATAAAATATATTGTTACTAAGGCTGTATGCTGCAGTGACCACACCCACTGCTGTCCCAATGGCTACACATGTGATGTCTCAGCTGGAACATGTAACAGGGGCAATGATGTTGTAGCATGGCTCACTAAACAACCAGCCAAAACTGTTGGGGAAGTTAAATGTGATGGCAGTTCCTCATGTCCAGATGGCAACACCTGCTGTAAATTAGCCTCTGGTGAATACGGGTGCTGTCCTTTACCCAAGGTATGATCCATAAGATATGTACAATTTAATAATCAAATTAAGATTTACACCTCATGAGATACCCTAAAGCTTCTAAATTGCCTGTTATAAAAAGGGCAAGGATTGCTAGTGTAATCCAAAAAAAAAAATCCTTGGAAAATGGCAAATGATTAAAATGCCAATATTAAAAGGTCCCTGACACTAGAGTGTATGCCATTTAGGATCCTGATAAAATGGCACCTATCATTTTAATATGTTATACTCAATCGGATCCTATGAATAGGGTTCCTATTCAACTAATTCTATCAGTGTGCTCTAGAACAAAAGACTGACTTTTTAATAAGTCTTCACTCTCCTTTCATTAAGAAAAAAACACAAATTAATTAATCTCTGGCTGACCACTAATCTCCTGCTTACTAAAATCCTTTTGTCTGCAAACTAATATCCTTTTGTCTGCAAGGCTCTTGCCATTAAAAATCAGTAACCAAATACTAAAGAAATCCTGCACACTTAGTTCCCACTGAACACTCATCTCTGGAATACACTTAGCTCAGCAGTTTTTAAGTAAGCTGCTGAACATGCTAAGCCCTTATAGTTAGCTAAGCTCATGCTGTATATTAATGTCTGGGTATTTTTGGCGTTACACGTATTATGCAACCATATTGACTGGAGGCATATTGGTGTGAGACATGTAGGTGTTGAGCTGTAATGGTGTGATTCATGTTGGAGTCAGCCATGTAGTAATTTGCCATTTTGACAAAAGCCATTTCGTCTTGGGCTTTAAAAGTTGTCAAAAAATAGTCAAAACTTTTTACTGGTCCAATCAATCCATTGAATGGAGCAGATATATAGATTTTATTTGATACTTCTTCTTTTAAAATGTCAAGCAGTTATACTAGTTATAGTCCTTAAAAGCTGCTTATGGCGTGGTAATTGAAAAGAACATGAAATGATTTTAAGTGGATTTGTTTTAACATGAAAATAAAATATATTGTTACTAAGGCTGTATGCTGCAGTGACCACACCCACTGCTGTCCCAATGGCTACACATGTGATGTCTCAGCTGGAACATGTAACAGGGGCAATGATGTTGTAGCATGGCTCACTAAACAACCAGCCAAAACTGTTGGGGAAGTTAAATGTGATGATAGTTCCTCATGTCCAGATGGCAACACCTGCTGTAAATTAGCCTCTGGTGAATACGGGTGCTGTCCTTTACCCAAGGTATGATCCATAAGATATTTACAAATGAATGATCAAATTAAGATTGACACCGCATTAGATTCCCTAAAGCTTCTAAATTGCCTGTTATAAAAAGGGCAAGGATTGCTAGTGTAATCCAAAAAAAAAATCCTTGGAAAATGGCAAATGATTAAAATGCCAATATTAAAAGGTCCCTGACAATAGAGTGTATGCAAATTAGGATCCTGATAAAATGGCACCTATCATTTTAATATGTTATACTCAATCAGTTCCTATGAATAGGGTTCCTATTCAACTAATTCTATCAGTGTGCTCTAGAACAAAAGACTGACTTTTTAATAAGTCTTCACTCTCCTTTCATTAAGATAAAAACACTAATTAATATCTGGCTGACCACTAATCTCCTGCTTACTAAAATCCTTTTGTCTGCAAACTAATATCCTTTTGTCTGCAAGGCTCTTGCCATTCAAAAATCACTAACCAAATACTAAAGAAATCCTGCACACTTAGTTCCCACTAAACACTCATCTCTGGCATACACTAAGCTCAGCAATTTTTAAGTAAGCTGCTGAACATACTAATCCCTTATAGTTAGCTAAGCTCATGCTGTATATTAATATCTAGATATTTTTGAGTTACACGTATTATGCAACCATATTGACTGGAGGCATATTGGTGTGAGACATGTAGGTGTTGAGCTGTAATGGCGTGATTCATGTTAGAGTCAGCCATGTAGTAATTTGCCATTTTGACAAAAGCCATTTCGTCTTGGGCTTTAAAAGTTGTCTAAAAAATAGTCAAAACTTTTTACTGGTCCAATTAATCCATTGAATGGAGCAGATATATAGATTTTATTTGATACTTCTTCTTTTAAAATGTCAAGCAGTTTTACTAGTTATAGTCCTTAAAAGCTGCTTATGGCGTGTTAATTGAAAAGAACATGAAATGATTTTAAGTGGATTTGTTTTAACATGAAAATAAAATATATTGTTACTAAGGCTGTATGCTGCAGTGACCACACCCACTGCTGTCCCAATGGCTACACATGTGATGTCTCAGCTGGAACATGTAACAGGGGCAATGATGTTGTAGCATGGCTCACTAAACAACCAGCCAAAACTGTTGGGGAAGTTAAATGTGATGATAGTTCCTCATGTCCAGATGGCAACACCTGCTGTAAATTAGCCTCTGGTGAATACGGGTGCTGTCCTTTACCCAAGGTATGATCCATAAGATATGTACAATTTAATAATCAAATTAAGATTTACACCTCATGAGATACCCTAAAGCTTCTAAATTGCCTGTTATAAAAAGGGCAAGGATTGCTAGTGTAATCCAAAAAAAAAATCCTTGGAAAATGGCAAATGATTAAAATGCCAATATTAAAAGGTCCCTGACAGTAGAGTGTATGCAAATTAGGATCCTGATAAAATGGCACCTATCATTTTAATATGTTATACTCAATCAGTTCCTATGAATAGGGTTCCTATTCAACTAATTCTATCAGTGTGCTCTAGAACAAAAGACTGACTTTTTAATAAGTCTTCACTCTCTTTCATTAAGATAAAAACACAAATTAATTAATATCTGGCTGACCACTAATCTCCTGCTTACTAAAATCCTTTTGTCTGCAAACTAATGTCCTTTTGTCTGCAAGGCTCTTGCCATTCAAAAATCAGTAACCAAATACTAAAGAAATCCTGCACACTTAGTTCCCACTAAACACCAATCTCTGGCATACACTAAGCTCAGCAATTTTTAAGTAAGCTGCTGAACATACTAAGCCCTTATAGTTAGCTAAGCTCATGCTGTATATTAATATCTAGATATTTTTGGCGTTACACGTATTATGCAACCATATTGACTGGAGGCATATTGGTGTGAGACATGTAGGTGTTGAGCTGTAATGGTGTGATTCATGTTGGAGTCAGCCATGTAGTAATTTGCCATTTTGACAAAAGCCATTTCGTCTTGGGCTTTAAAAGTTGTCTAAAAAATAGTCAAAACTTTTTATTGGTCCCATCAATCCATTGAATGGAGCAGATATATAGATTTTATTTGATACTTCTTCTTTTAAAATGTCAAGCAGTTATACTAGTTATAGTCCTTAAAAGCTGCTTATGGCGTGTTAATTGAAAAGAACATGAAATGATTTTAAGTGGATTTGTTTTAACATGAAAATACAAATGTATTGTTACTAAGGCTGTATGCTGCAGTGACCACACCCACTGCTGTCCCAATGGCTACACATGTGATGTCTCAGCTGGAACATGTAACAGGGGCAATGATGTTGTAGCATGGCTCACTAAACAACCAGCCAAAACTGTTGGGGAAGTTAAATGTGATGATAGTTCCTCATGTCCAGATGGCAACACCTGCTGTAAATTAGCCTCTGGTGAATACGGGTGCTGTCCTTTACCCAAGGTATGATCCATAAGATATGTACAATTTAATAATCAAATTAAGATTGACACCGCATTAGATTCCCTAAAGCTTCTAAATTCTCTGTTATAAAAAGGGCAAGTATTGCTAGTGTAATCCAAAATAAAATCCTTGGAAAATGCAAATGTGTAAAATGCCAATATTAAAAGGTCCCTGACACTAGAGTGTATGCCAGTTAGGATCCTGATAAAATGGCACCTATCATTTTAATATGTGATACTCAATTAGTTCCTATGAATAGGGTTCCTATTCAACTAATTCTATCAGTGTGCTCTAAAACAAAAGACTGACTTTTTAATAAGTCTTCACTCTCCTTTCATTAAGAAAAAAAAACACAAATTAATTAATATCTGGCTGACCACTAATCTCCTGCTTACTAAAATCCTTTTGTCTGCAAACTAATATCCTTTTGTCTGCAAGGCTCTTGCCATTAAAAATCAGTAACCAAATACTAAAGAAATCCTGCACACTTAGTTCCCACTGAACACTCATCTCTGGCATACACTTAGCTCAGCAGTTTTTAAGTAAGCTGCTGAACATGCTAAGCCCTTATAGTTAGCTAAGCTCATGCTGTATATTAATATCTAGATATTTTTGAGTTACACGTATTATGCAACCATATTGACTGGAGGCATATTGGTGTGAGACATGTAGGTGTTGAGCTGTAATGGCGTGATTCATGTTAGAGTCAGCCATGTAGTAATTTGCCATTTTGACAAAAGCCATTTCGTCTTGGGCTTTAAAAGTTGTCTAAAAAATAGTCAAAACTTTTTACTGGTCCAATTAATCCATTGAATGGAGCAGATATATAGATTTTATTTGATACTTCTTCTTTTAAAATGTCAAGCAGTTTTACTAGTTATAGTCCTTAAAAGCTGCTTATGGCGTGTTAATTGAAAAGAACATGAAATGATTTTAAGTGGATTTGTTTTAACATGAAAATAAAATACATTGTTACTAAGGCTGTATGCTGCAATGACCACACCCACTGCTGTCCCAATGGCTACACATGTGATGTCTCAGCTGGAACATGTAACAGGGGCAATGATGTTGTAGCATGGCTCACTAAACAACCAGCCAAAACTGTTGGGGAAGTTAAATGTGATGATAGTTCCTCATGTCCAGATGGCAACACCTGCTGTAAATTAGCCTCTGGTGAATACGGGTGCTGTCCTTTACCCAAGGTATGATCCATAAGATATGTACAATTTAATAATCAAATTAAGATTTACACCTCATGAGATACCCTAAAGCTTCTAAATTGCCTGTTATAAAAAGGGCAAGGATTGCTAGTGTAATCCAAAAAAAAAATCCTTGGAAAATGGCAAATGATTAAAATGCCAATATTAAAAGGTCCCTGACAGTAGAGTGTATGCAAATTAGGATCCTGATAAAATGGCACCTATCATTTTAATATGTTATACTCAATCAGTTCCTATGAATAGGGTTCCTATTCAACTAATTCTATCAGTGTGCTCTAGAACAAAAGACTGACTTTTTAATAAGTCTTCACTCTCCTTTCATTAAGATAAAAACACAAATTAATTAATATCTGGCTGACCACTAATCTCCTGCTTACTAAAATCCTTTTGTCTGCAAACTAATATCCTTTTGTCTGCAAGGCTCTTGCCATTCAAAAATCACTAACCAAATACTAAAGAAATCCTGCACACTTAGTTCCCACTGAACACTAATATCTGGCATACACTAAGCTCAGCAATTTTTAAGTAAGCTGCTGAACATACTAAGCCCTTATAGTTAGCTAAGCTCATGCTGTATATTAATATCTAGATATTTTTGGCGTTACACGTATTATGCAACCATATTGACTGGAGGCATATTGGTGTGAGCCATGTAGGTGTTGAGCTGTAATGGCGTGATTCATGTTGGAGTCAGCCATGTAGTAATTTGCCATTTTGACAAAAGCCATTTCGTCTTGGGCTTTAAAAGTTGTCTAAAAAATAGTCAAAACTTTTTACTGGTCCAATTAATCCATTGAATGGAGCAGATATATAGATTTTATTTGATACTTCTTCTTTTAAAATGTCAAGCAGTTATACTAGTTATAGTCCTTAAAAGCTGCTTATGGCGTGTTAATTGAAAAGAACATGAAATGATTTTAAGTGGATTTGTTTTAACATGAAAATACAAATGTATTGTTACTAAGGCTGTATGCTGCAGTGACCACACCCACTGCTGTCCCAATGGCTACACATGTGATGTCTCAGCTGGAACATGTAACAGGGGCAATGATGTTGTAGCATGGCTCACTAAACAACCAGCCAAAACTGTTGGGGAAGTTAAATGTGATGATAGTTCCTCATGTCCAGATGGCAACACCTGCTGTAAATTAGCCTCTGGTGAATACGGGTGCTGTCCTTTACCCAAGGTATGATCCATAAGAAATGTACAATTTAATAATCAAATTAAGATTTACACCTCATGAGATACCCTAAAGCTTCTAAATTCTCTGTTATAAAAAGGGCAAGGATTGCTAGTGTAATCCAAAATAAAATCCTTGGAAAATGCAAATGCGTAAAATGCCAATATTAAAAGGTCCCTGACACTAGAGTGTATGCCATTTAGGATCCTGATAAAATGGCACCTATCATTTTAATATGTTATACTCAATCGGATCCTATGAATAGGGTTCCTATTCAACTAATTCTATCAGTGTGCTCTAGAACAAAAGACTGACTTTTTAATAAGTCTTCACTCTCCTTTCATTAAGAAAAAAACACAAATTAATTAATCTCTGGCTGACCACTAATCTCCTGCTTACTAAAATCCTTTTGTCTGCAAACTAATATCCTTTTGTCTGCAAGGCTCTTGCCATTAAAAATCAGTAACCAAATACTAAAGGAATCCTGCACACTTAGTTCCCACTAAACACCAATCTCTGGCATACACTAAGCTCAGCAATTTTTAAGTAAGCTGCTGAACATACTAAGCCCTTATAGTTAGCTAAGCTCATGCTGTATATTAATGTCTGGGTATTTTTGGCGTTACACGTATTATGCAACCATATTGACTGGAGGCATATTGGTGTGAGACATGTAGGTGTTGAGCTGTAATGGTGTGATTCATGTTGGAGTCAGCCATGTAGTAATTTGCCATTTTGACAAAAGCCATTTCGTCTTGGGCTTTAAAAGTTGTCAAAAAATAGTCAAAACTTTTTACTGGTCCAATCAATCCATTGAATGGAGCAGATATATAGATTTTATTTGATACTTCTTCTTTTAAAATGTCAAGCAGTTATACTAGTTATAGTCCTTAAAAGCTGCTTATGGCGTGGTAATTGAAAAGAACATGAAATGATTTTAAGTGGATTTGTTTTAACATGAAAATAAAATATATTGTTACTAAGGCTGTATGCTGCAGTGACCACACCCACTGCTGTCCCAATGGCTACACATGTGATGTCTCAGCTGGAACATGTAACAGGGGCAATGATGTTGTAGCATGGCTCACTAAACAACCAGCCAAAACTGTTGGGGAAGTTAAATGTGATGATAGTTCCTCATGTCCAGATGGCAACACCTGCTGTAAATTAGCCTCTGGTGAATACGGGTGCTGTCCTTTACCCAAGGTATGATCCATAAGATATTTACAATTTAATGATCAAATTAAAATTAATGTTTTATTGGAGTTTCTGAAGCTATAATTTGCCCTTTTTTTAAGTCTAGAATTTCAAAATTTAAGTAGCACTTTTCCATAATAAATGGGACGGAGTTGTCTAGTGGTAGAGAGCTTGACTGCTAACCCGTAAGTTTGGGGTTCAAATCCGGGTTCAAGCCAGTAGACCTTCCCTGAGTCCACCCAACTCTGATGGGTACCTAACTCACGTTAGGGAAAGTAAAGTTGGCTTGGCATAGTTGCTTGTGATATTTTTATTTCACTATTTTGAAACTAATCAATAGATTTAGAGATTTTTTTTTTTTATACTGAAATGCAAAATGTTTTTTTTTACTAAGGCTGTATGCTGCAGTGACCACACCCACTGCTGTCCCAATGGCTACACATGTGATGTCTCAGCTGGAACATGTAACAGGGGCAACGAAGTTATTAGTTGGTTTGCTAAAAAGCTGGCTAATTGATTAAAATGATGATATTCATATTGCTTGTTTCATTTTAGGAATTTCATTCGAAATTGTATATTGATAGAAACAAACTTTAGTGTTTAACATTTAAATAACTGATTCTGCATTTCACTAATTGTAAAATTTGTTTTTATAAAAACAAAGCTATTGCCCTGACATATTTTTTTTTTAATATTACTATTACTTTTAAATATATCTATCCCAAAATTAAAATCCCTAATTTTAAATCTACAATCATAGAAGTATTAACTTCAGGTTTTGAGTTCTAAAGCTCTTTTTGGTAAATATCTTTATATATCATACACAGCTATTTTGTGGGTTATCTATTTTAAACCACATTTAAATATTTTTTAAATGCTAAAGATAAAAAGAAACTGTTTACATAGTTTGTTCATGAGGTTTGTAGAAAAAAATTACTTACTTAGTCTTTTGGGGTGTGTTTTAAAACATTTTTAACATTCCGTAATAAATGGTGTGAATGTGTGCAATAGACATAGTAACAAACACTGCTGAAATCAGCATCAAAATACACGGTGGTCGTGTATGTTGAGTAGATCGTATGTAATTAAGTAAATGCATGATGGATCAATCATGGATTTACATTCCTCATATTTTAACTATGCAATGTTGGTTTGAACAATTTATAACTTGTATTCCATCCATAAAATAAAGACGCTCTAAGTGTTTTGCTGCAGCAGTTGTTCAATCAAATTGGTATTTTGTTTCTGTGTACACTTATCAGGTATTTCTGTATGTCTACTCTACAATACAGCTGGTATTCAACAATTTCATGTATAATTTTGTAACCTGTTTAGTCAATGAGCTTATCTTAAATGCAGTATTTTTTTGACTGTGTTTAATGTATCATGAGATTCTATTTCATTTCAGATAATTAAATTTACTATTTTTAGATAGTAATGTAGGGTACTGTAGTTTAATAAGCCATGTTGTAAATTTCTATAATTTGACAATGTTATTTCAGTACTTTGTACTTGTAGTAAGGTTTAAAATTATGATTATTGTGTATAGGCCTACTAATTACATAAAAGTGTTTTACTAATTTTGAGTTTTTGTTTTTAACTGTATTGTCAACTCAAGACAAGTAAAAATAATTAGAACATTCTATTTGAAATTATAAACTGTGTTATGTGTAAGTGGCCTCTTGGCAATTTCTCCATTTGACTGATGGATAATATATATTGGCCATATCAACATTCCTTTGACAAAAGGGTCTCTACTTAAATCCTTCCCTTTAATATACCTCTGAGTATAAAAATCTTCAAACAAAAGGGCCCCATAAAATTGGCCTCAGTCTGGTATTTGGTCAATCACAAAGGTCCCATTACGTTAGCTTAATTATAATTAAATATCTCACACCCGAGGCTATACTATTTGCTCATAAAAATTCAGCCAAATTGTTCTCTAACAAACCATATAACAATTCAAACAAAAACTACAATCACTCTAGTCTAAATATTTTATGAGTCTGCAGTGCTAGATTAGTACATCTTTTCTTGAGTAGTGCTTATAAATAAATATGTATACTTTCCTCTTTATATATTCCTCATTATGCCTTAAATGAGGAACTCGAAAATTAAAAATTAGTATTTTAAGTAGTAGATAGAAATTGTCCTTAAAGTGGTGGTTTTTTATTTTACTGAAACCTCATATGTTTGACACTTAACTGAGGAATTATGCAAGAGACAACAGTAAAGAAACACATTACTAATCATGTTCATCTATACCCAGTATTAATACTAACTAGTGTTATAATTATACTGTGGTAACTATTTAGTTCTATAAGATACTGTCTTTGTGAACAGACCTACTACTAATCTTATGATAAGATAATGTCTTTGTGAACAGACCTACTACTAATCTTATGATAAGATAATGTCTTTGTGAACAGACCTACTACTAATCTTATGATAAGATAATGTCTTTGTGAACAGACCTACTACTAATCTTATGATAAGATAATGTCTTTGTGAACAGACCTACTACTAATCTTAAGATTTGGATTGATTTTGCCTACAAAATGTTAGTAGTATTATAAGTACAGTTGCCACTCTAACCTGATGGTCAATGTGGCAAGTGAAGTAGAGCTCACCTGTTTCTGTGACCTCTGCATATGAAGGGATAGTGTGGTCATCATTTACTTTCCCTGAGTCAGGTCCCCATCAGAGCTAGGTGGACTCAGAGACTTTCTACAGACTTGAACCTCTATTCAAACTGGAGACTTAGCACTTGTATGCTCTACCATTTAACAATGCCATCCCATTAGTAGTATAATTAGTAGAGAATGTAATGTTAGTTCTAAAGATTTGAACTAATATTACTTTCTAATGTAGTTACTAGCCTAAACCTCAGTAGGTCTACCATAAATTGTATACATATTAATATTAGAAAGTAATACTAGTTCATCTCTATAAAACTTACAAAGTTTTCCTTCAGATTATATTGCAATTGCTGCTTGCATTATCTACTGTGGTGTGGGACGGCTTGGTCGAATGGTAGAGCATTTTGCTGCTAGCTCAAAAGCCTCAAGTCCTCAAGTTGGATCTTATTTCAGACTTGTGACTGTAGGATGCCCCTGAGTCCACCCAGCTATGATGGGTACCTGACTTTCATTGAGGAAAGTAAAAGCGGCTGGGCATAATGCTGACCACACCATCTCTTCATATGCCGAGGTCAAGAAACACATGAACTCTTACTTTATCTGTCCAATGCACTGCTAGGTCTAACAAGGAATCTTTCCTTTTTTAATCTAATGTGATAATGTAATTTGTAAATAGAATAGTAAAGTTTAGCACAAAAACCATGGAGCACATCTTTTTTAGACTGACAACCTCTTCAACTCCACTCTGCCCCAATCCCACCCCCCCCCCCCCCCCCCCCAACCCCTCCTTATTTATTTAAAACTTAAATAAGAGGCCAATATGTTCAGAAATTTAAAAAAAAAAACAAGCTACAGAAACTGCCAATACCCCAACCTAAAGTGTCAGGCTTAAGTGGGCCCAAATAAAGAGATCTGCCCAAAACTGGGTGCAGTGGTGTGGGGTTGCAGACACTCTGGGGCCACAAAGGAATACATCACATCTAGGCTTAAACTTTAAAATATTTCATTTACAATTCTTAATTCTTGCTTTTAAAAATCATTGTAAATATATTCTTTGGCTAAACCCTAGCATTATACCATAACTTAGATACACTGTCTTGGTAATTTATATTATTAAGGTGTTTGTTTAAGCACCACAGTCATACTTAGTTGCCAACTTAAAGCCTTCTTGATAGCTACCACCAACACTTGAAAAATTATCTAAATCTATCTATCTATATATTAAGCAATGTATCACCATGAAAATTTAGGGAGTTGATTAGAACACTCCAGGGGAGGTTTCTGCAAAACAATATTTTTTTAATTTCCTAAGGGTGGTGCCACAGGAGGGTGTGATTTTTCTCTATAAACGGTATATGAAAAAGTTTTCTGTGGAAAAAATATTTTTATTTCTTATGGCCGAAGCATAGGAGGGTGTGATGTTTGTCAATACACGGTTCCAGAGCGGCTATCTTAGCACTTGGTATATGTTAATCAGGCATCCTGTAATTATATTCAGCGTTAAAACTTCAACAGGCGCAGCCGCCGGCTCCTGGCTGTTGCGTGACCCAAAGCAGCCCGGGCTCCCCTGTGAGCACTATGATGCCTATGTTCATTCATATAGTGCCTACTTTTGTTTTAAATGCAATAGACTATGCATAGATATAGATGGAGTTCTGGAATTGTTCACTAATCATAATCGGCAGGGTGAGGTTTGAGCACTATTGCACCCACGTTAGTTTTAAAGAGCACCCTATGGCATACAATATGCGATGATTAAACCCATGCACAGGCCTTACGCTGCGCCCCTGTGGTGGTGTAATCGGAGGATCTAGAGAGTGTCCCTCTACGTCCCTGACACCTAGGCAGTGAGTGATTTTACAGTGAGCGATTAACATACACTCAAGGCGGTAGAATAGGTAACGCATTGATGAAACCCTCCTAATATATTTCATCAGACTTTATTCTATCCTCGCGAGCACGCTAGTATAATAAATAGCATTATATAAAATAAGTCAAACTTCTGTTCACAAGTTCTAAAAATATTTGCTAAAAAACTATAGATCACTATTGACCAAAATAAGCATGTTGCTTATTTCGTCTACTGTTGACCGAAATAAGCACTTCCCACAATAACAATTAAAAAAATTATCATTATTGGACACTGTTGTTTGATATACCATATTTAGGTCTAGATATCTAGATCTGTAATCTCTATTTTATATTAGACTAGTAGTATATTCAATATTCATAACACCCCCAAAAAATGGTAAAATCTCAGTTCTGTAAAGATTCTAGCCCATATAACATTTATTTGCATTACCAATTTAAACAAATTGAGGTGTAAGGTTAAGTGTTACTCTTTCTGGCATCTAGTACACTTAACTTTTAAATCAATTTACATTTAAGAGGTTGGCTGAGAAGTTTTAATTTCATCTTAGAACCCTTGGGCCTATATGCCCCAAAAGCAAGTCTAGCATTTTATAATTATAGATCTCTAGTTATGTGCCAGTTGTACCGTAACTTGCATAAATAACTCAAAACAATCAATAACTGCATTCGCCCCTTACTGCATTACTTTAGGCCCATAGACATATGGAATTTTTAAACATTTTCAAATGTCTTACTGTAGACTAGATCTATAAAGTGTACACCATATCTAGAATAACAATATTATTATTCATTTTGACCTTCTAACTGGATATATTACGCTGGCCAACGTTCAATATGGCGAATATATAAACATGAAAATGGAAACAAATGTTTCGCAGCATTAAATCTCAATACTAATGAGATTGCTAAAAAATAGTAAAAAATATTAATTTAATGCTGACGGAAGTAAAAGCTGAAGGAAACGATTTAGAATATTTATTAAAGTTTGTTTTACTAATAGATCTAGTAATAACTTATTACTAATAAGTAGATAGTAGATCTAGGCCTAATAATACGAGAATAGCTAGATCTAGATTCTAAATCACTAAATCTAAAAACTAAAATATTCTAAATCAATAGGCCCTACTTTTAAATTTTAAAAGAAAATTAAAAAAAAAATAAGTTAAGACTTAAGGCATAAGAAGTAGATCTAAATCTCTATTAATATTTATTATTATTAAAGGTAATCTATCGTTTTAGGTACGTAAAATCGCCCGCGGCTAGTAATGTGCGAAAAAGTTACCTCATTGTCAAGGCTTTAACTTTAATTATTAATAGAAGTATAGAATCTAGTAGTATAAGTATATTGTGATGTATTTGTGTCAAATATTATAGATAAATGAATAATAACCTAAATCAATGGCTAAATAATAAATATATCAATATTGAATTGAATATAGCCTCAATATAGGCAAGAAATTAATTAACTTTAAACAGCAGTGTTAGCTAGCAGGATTTGCTATATAAAAAGCGTAAGTTAGAGTGGCTTCCCCTGAATTCTGAATCTTGCGCTATAAGATTATAATAAAAAAAATAAACAAGATGGCTGCTATAGTTAGGGACTTGGATGACGTAGATTTTGAGGCACTAAAAACGAGAGTTTTCTGCCCATACCGAGTTTCGTCGATTTAGCCGTGCGGTCGCGGGTGATGATCGAAAAAATTTTTTTTTTATTATAAATCGCCGATGCTACTAATAATTTGATGACTGATTCTGAAAAACAAATGGATTTCATATGTTACGGTATTTTTGTTTTGAGATTTTGTTGAAGGTGAAAATGGATTTTTGGAGCCAAACTTTGGCTACGTAAAACTCTTTGTACCATAAAAACTTACTAACCAAGAAGGCCAATAAAAAGCCCTCCGACCATAATCACCATTTTTCTTTATGTGTGTAAATTTTCATAATGTTAATCGATAGCAAAGTATTTTTTTATAAATAGTTTAGAAAGTATAGGCTTAAGCCATTTTACGACTACCGGGAAAGACAGAGGTTTAAACCGGAAGTGTACTTGTGTTGTTAATGACGCCATTGCTCTCAATTGAATTGATTTGTAAATCCAGCAACATCCACACGAATCTGACTTTAAAATCATTTTAAATTATAGAATTATATTTTATATTGATAAAACTATGATTTTTTGTTGACTTTGTGCGCATATTTTCTATTTAGATTTTTTTTTTTGTAATTTTGAGTTAGATCTAAAAATAGATTTCTGCGAAATTTTTCAAGTTGAATTATTGTTTCATTTTAATTGTATGGCCTAGATATAGATCTATATTGTTCTTGAATGAGTTCTGTATTTTATATTAGCTATCATTATAGTAACTTGTGTACTTTCCACATTTTTCTTAAATTTTAAAGCTTGATATAGGCCTAGATCTAGAATCTAATATAAAATTCCATTTGCCTATCATTTGGTCTATAAAATATAGGCCAATAGGGTAATTCTATATTAAACATATAGCCTTTTGATTGCTTTTCAAGCGAATTTTTATTACCAATATTACTAATATTCAAACATTTTAGGAGTCCTATATTTTCTTTATAGCTCTAGGACTTTGTTCGTTTTAGATTTATTACTAAATTACTACAATCCTTGTACAATGTTCTGTCTTCATCTGTAGGCCTATTTGAAGTACATATGATACTACTGTATTTTTGCTGTAGTATACATCTCAGTTGCTTTTTTACTAGTCTTGGCCCTAGATAAAATGTACCAGTTCACAAGGGGATAGAGAATCAAAGGATGTGGATCTACTCATAAGCAACTTCAATGAAGGAGAAATAGGTCCACTTAAGAATGGATGTTGCTGGTTTTTATTAGTTCTAAAAGCTATCAGCCAGAGGAGACACAGCTTCAGTAGATGTTTAATCAGATTTCATTTTTAAATCATTGATGGTGTTATTTTCCCACGTTTTCTTTAACTTGCTTTCTCTGTTTGTGTGTTTGTCTTTCCAATCAAATCTTGCGATCGAAATTTCTGGCACTTCCCAGTTAGCTAGCGCGCTGAAATTTTCAGGGAAGCTTTCTTTTGGATGACCATTGAATATTCAATTGTTATTATTACTAAATTGATCAATGGAAACATTTTATTGAGCATTTTAGACCGCTATATAATCTATATATATAATTCTCCTCTGCTAGCCATTAGAAAAAAAACCAGCGACGCGTACCTCGCGCGCAGTGAAGCGAACGATCACATGTCGCCACAGGCTTAGGGGCAGAGAATTTAGCTTGAACCGAGTTTAAACTTACAGGAGCGACGCGTACCTCGCGCGCAGTGAAGCGAACGATCCCACTTCGCCACAGGCTTAGGGACAGATAATTTAGTTTGAACCGAGTTTAAACTTACACGAGGTAGGCCAGTTTGGGGGAGACGATATGGTCGAGTGGTTGGGCACACGATTGCTATCCCACTCGACACGGGTTCAAATCTATGTGTTCTAGTCAGTAACGTATTCACACAACGTGTTTTTTACGAGTTGTCTTTTTACGAGTTGTCTTTTTACGAGTTGTCTTTTTACGAGTTGTCTTCGTTTACCCAAAAAAAAGTGAAAAGATAAAATCGATAGCAAGATTTTAATGCAAACAAACAAAGACTAAAAAGTAGAAAATAATAATCATTAAAAAAGTTTTAAAAAACCCACGTTTTCTGATTGAACTAAAAAGTAGAAAATAAACGCTATACATCACAATAATGCAAGCGATCACTCTACTATAAGCGATCAAAAACGTGGGGCGCCGTGATTTTCTTACAGTTTCTAATACTGTTGACTCTCTACAAGCTCCCTAATAAAAGTCAATAGTATTATCTAATCAATAGTAATATAACTTTTACTTCGGCGCCCCACGTTTTTCATCGCTTATAGTAGAGTGATCGCTTGCATTATTGTGATGTATAGCGTTTATTTTCTACTTTTTAGTTCAATCAGAAAACGTGGGTTTTTTAAAACTTTTTTAATGATTATTATTTTAAAGTAAAAAAGTGATACAAGCTAACAGACTTAAACATGTTATCCACACAGCATGAGATGTCACTTAAATATATGACACATGTTTCTAAATTATAAAACTTACCTTTAACATTAAATGGTGATCATTACTCCACCAATATAAAATCATTTCAATTATTAAATTATTTGTTCAACAATAATTGTAAATTAAATTATATCAATTCTATGTAACATAGACATAACATGGATGAAATATCAAGCATATTGACAACATTTAGATACCATTTTAGTTATCTAAAATCAGTTTAGCATTGTACTTCTTTCTTGCAAAAAAGTAGTTGCGCAGAACAAAAATGACTTTTTAAATTTGACCAACATTGTAACAAAACCACATAAGCTAAGTGAAATATTTTTACTTTGTGTGGATGTATACAATGTTGGCACCAATTAGGCCAATTTTCATTAAGATATTCCATATAATAAAAATTTGGCAACAGATTATGTGTTGCCTATAGCAGAATTTATTGTTTAAAATTAAGGGGGGTATATGAGTTTAAACCCCTTTTTCATTAAATAAAATATTTTTAAAATCAAATTTGAACAAAGGAAATATCAAAGTATATAATAATGTTCATGTTTACAATATTTCTTGCATATAAGCAAAGTAATCTAAAATCAGCTCAACATTATACTTCTTTCTTGCAAAAAAAGTAGTTGCGCAGAATAAAAATGACTTTTTTATTTTGTCCAACATTGTAATAAAACCACATAAGCTAAGTAAAATATTTTGACTTTCTGTTAATGTATACAGTGTTGGCACTATTCAGGCCAATTTTCAGTAAGATATTCCATATAATAAAAATTTGGCAACAGATTGTGTGTAGCCTATCAAAGACGCTTATTAAAATTTTTTAGGGGGGTGACCCTCTTTGTTAACATTATTTTTTATGATCATTCTCATCCAATTCAATTATTTTTATCTTACTCTTTTACTGATATCATAAGCTTGATCTTAGTGAATTTTCATTAAAAAATACCTGCTATTTAAAAAGTTACAGAGATTTTAGTTCGCATCCAAAAAAGTAGGGAAGCAAAAAATTGAGAAAACCCCATATTAAAAAAACCCGAAAATTAAATACATTAAAAATTCATAACTTCGTAACCGTTTTAGCTAAAATTAAAATAAAAGTATCTTTGTTCTTGTCTAAATGAGCTCTATAAACTGGTGCTACTACATTATTTATTTTTTTTAAAATGAAATTTCATCCAAGTCCCTAGCTATAGTAAATGAGCATGGTTGCATCTGTTGGAAACATCGCTAGTCTTTATTTATTACTGAAAATTTTTAATTCAATTGTTTAAAAACAGGTACATAAATGAAAGAAGGAAACATTTTTGTATTTTTCAAAACATAAATCCTCCTCAAAATGTGAAATAATTATTAAAATTTAAAGAGTCACCTGTTTTTCACATTACTAGTCGCGGGCGATTTTACGTACCTAAAACAATAGATTACCTTATTAAATATAAGGAACGTAAGAAGCAATAGGCTAAATTAAATTGTAAATATTAGGCCCTACTAAATATTCTGGACTGTTGGTACACTTTTTCCACTTCTGGTAGTTGAGTGTGTGTAGTCGTTGACTAGATCTAGATTTTAGATTCTACTAACAATTAACATTGAGTTGATTCTGTGAGTGAGTTGACTCAATTTGACTGACACTGTAGAACTTAAGAGTGTGGATCTAGATCTAGCTAGATATCTAGCGCTGTACTCAGTCAACAGTACTGTAATTTTTTCAGTGTCTTCACTACTAGAACTAGACGAGTTAATTTGAGTAACTTACATTGCAGTGAACACTTTACAACTTAATTGTTGTTTTTAATGCATAAATCACAATTTTTTTTCCCATTTTTTTTCAAAATATCAAACATGTGCACTTTCGTATAAATACTAGTGTTAGCAACAAGGACGTGGTGGGGTTTA